TGGAGTGTTTGTGTGTTTATTGTATGGCTGGAGAGTTGCAAACAGATATTAAAAGGAAATCATAAGAACAGCGAGGATTTTATATAAATGTGTGTGTGTGTGTGTGTGTGTGTGTGTGTGTGTACGTGTGTGTGTGTGTGTGTGTGTGTGTGTGTGTGTGTGTGTGTCCTGGTAAGACCCTCTCAGCGTCATCTTCACAGGTGATGATCGTTCCTGAGATTCCAGCACCGCTCCCCTCCCCCCTCCTCCCCTCCTTCCCCCTCCCTGTCTCGGGTTATGGGAGGTCTTGGAGGAGGAGGAGGAGAGAGGAGTCTAGTCTATGAGAGTTATGTTGGATCTGGTGCCTAGGCTATGTGGGAGGTCTGTCTGTCTGTCTGTCTCTGTCTGTCTGTCTGTCTGTCGTCTGTCTGTCTGTCTGTCTGTCTGTCTGTCTGTCTCTGTCTGTCTGTCTATAAAGGCCCTAATCACCCTATTAAAGTGTATCAACAGGTAATTACGTCCTCAGAGCTCCACCTGGTCTCGTAATATCAAAGACCAAGATAGAGAGATAAGAGAGAGAGAGAGAGAGAGAGAAGAGGAGAGATGGAGAGGCATAAAAGAGACAGGGAAATAAAGTTTGGGAGATAGATGAGAGATGCTAGCAGGAAGGGGAGGGGGTTGTTTACTGCCTGAGAGGGGGAGGAGAGAGGGATTTGTCATGGGAGAGATCCGAAAGTGAGTGGGCGGAAGGAGAGACCACCTAAGAAGAACCGCCTACTACACCACCACCTACCACACCACTACCACCACCCACCACCACCACCACCACTACCACCAACCACCACTACCACCACCACCACCACCACCCCCACCACCCCCAACCACCACCACCACCACACCACCACCACCACCATCATACACTCACGTTATTCATATTTCACTGATCATTCATTTTATCCATTATTATTTATTTATTAATCACTACTTAATATATTCACCCGTTCCTCACTGTTTGTTTGTTTCTGTTTGTTTGTTTCTGTTTGTTTGTTTGTCTGTTTGTTTGCTTGTTTGTTTGTTTGCTTGTCACGGGATGAATGACAAGTGAAAAGGAGTGAATGACGTTTGTTTGCTGGGGTGAATGTTTTTGCTTCTGTCAACATTCTTCATAAATGTTCATAAATAAACATGACTGGTTATGTAAACATTCAACATGACCCAAATTGGATCTTTTATTTTTCTCCTGTTTTCTGTTTCATTCCTCTCCCCCCATTCCCTCTCCTCTTCCCTCTCTTCTCCTTTATTCCCCTCCTCTTCCTCCTTTCCCCCTTACCCTCCCTTCTCTACGCCTTTCCTCACTTTTCTCATCCCTACCTCCTGCCCTCTCCCCTACTCTCACCCCACCATCTCCTCTTCACCCCCTCCACAACCCTCACCTCCCCTCTCCTCTTATCACTCCCACAACCTCACATCTCCCAGCCCTCACCTCCCCAGTCCTCACCTCCCCTCCCCAGTCCTCACCTCCCCTCCCCAGTCCTCCTCCCCTCCCCAGTCCTCACCTCCTCTCCCAGTCCTCACTTCCCTCCCCAGTCCTCCACCTCCCAGCCCCTCCTTCCCTCCCAGCCCTCACCTCCCCAGCCCTCACCTCCCCCCAGCCTCACCTCCCCAGCCCTCACCTCACCTCCCAACCCTCACCTCCCTCCCCAGCCCTCCCCCTCCCCAGTCCTCCTCCCTCCTCCAGTCTCCACCCTCCCTCCCCAGTCCTCACCTCCCTCCCCAGTCCTCCACCTCCCCTCCCAGCCTCTCCCTCTCCAGTCCCTCACCTCCCTCCCCAGTCCTCCTCCCTCCCCATCCCCTCACCTCCCCTCCCCTATCAATTGCCACCAAGGGACCACACCTCTCTTTGCCACCCAATTAAAATAATTTTATGACGTCATATAAAACCCGGACCCTGAGCCAGGCAGACTGTCCTGGCGCCCTGACACCCTGCCCCCCTGCTTTGCCCCTGCCACCTGCCTGCACTTCCCTGCCTTCCCCTGCACTCCTCCCACACCCCGCCACGCTCTCCCTCCTGCCACGCTCCTCCCTGCCCCTACCACCTCCTCCCTGCCCCTGACACACTCCTCCCTGCCCCTACACCCCCTCCTCCCCCCCACCTCCTCCCTGCCCCTGCCACACCTCCTCCCTGCCTGCCACCTCCCCTCCCCTGCCCCTACCCACCTCCCTCCCCTGCCCACCTGCTCCTGCCTTGCCTGCCACCCCTCCCTGCCCACCCCTGCCACCCTCCCTGCCCTACCCCTGCCCCACCTCTGCCTCTTCCCATTGTCTGGCTATGAGATGTGTTGTGTTGATCAAGTCAGCGTTAATGCAGGAGTTGAACTTATTACAGGTATATTATTAACAGTAATGCCTCCCCCCTCTCTCCCCTCCCCCCCCCTCTCTCTCCCTCCCCTCTCTCTCCCTCCCCCTCTCTCCCTCCCCCTCCCCTCCCACACTAACACACAATTCCTCCCCTCATTGTCCCTCCCCTCACTATTCCCTCTCCATACCTAACATCTTCCCTCTCTTCACCTCTCCTCTCCCCTCCACCTCCCTTCCGTCTTCTCTTCCTCTCCTCTTCCTCTCATCCCACAAAGCAATACAGAATAAGGAAAGATCATCTCCTGTGACACACGAATAACAATAGGAAGATAAGAATAAATCAAGGAAAGAGAGAGAGAGAGAGAGAGAGAGAGAGAGAGAAGAGAGAGAGTCACTCACTGTGGTCTCGAGGGCAGAGGAAAAATACTCCACATTTGTCATCTAATTCAAGACCAGTTTAGTCTCCCCATGAAAGAAGAATTACGCTCCCGTTTTTCTTGTTGGGAGGCACAGAAAATGGGAGAGAAATTGGTTTGACAGAGTTACGAGAAAAGTGGGCGATGAAAAGAGAGGGAGGGTGAGTGGGCGATGAGAAAGAGGAAGGGTGAGTGGAGTGTTGGAGAAGAGAGGAGAGTGGTGGGCGATGAAAAGAGGGAAGGGAGTGAGTGGGCGGTGGAAAGAGGGAGAGTGGTAGGTGGTGAAGAGGGAAGGAGTGAGTGGGCAGTGGGGAAGAAGAGGGAAGGGTGAGTGGGCGGTGGGGAAAGAAGAGGAAGAGTGAGTGGGCGGTGGGGAAGAGAGGGAAGTGAAGTGGGTGTTGAGAAGGGAAGAGTGGGCGGTGGGGAAAGAGAGGGAAGGAGGAGGGCGGTGGGGAAAGAGGAGAGTGGTAGGTGATGAAAGAGGAGGAAGGAGGAGGGCGGGAAAGAGAGGGAAGGAGGAGGGCAGAAAGAGAGGAAGGAGTGGTAAGTGGTGGGAAGAGAGGGGAAGGAGGAGGGCGGTGGGGAAAGAGAGAGGAGGAGTATGTGAAGAGAGAGGGAAGGATTGGAAGGAAACTGAGTGAGCGAGTGGGGAGGATAAAGAGAGTGAGTGATTGAGTGGTGAAGATGGTGTGAGTGAGTGGGCGCTCAAGATGAATAGAGGGAGAGAGAGAAGGGGAGTGAGTGGGCAACGTAGAGGGACGGAGGGAGAAAGTAAGTGGGTAATGAAGAGAGGAGAAGAAGAGAGGGAAAACGGGAGGGAAGAAGAAAACAAGGAAAATGGAAGAGGGGAGACAGAGAGAGAGAAGGATAAATAAACTTGAGGAATGTGGGAGAGGAATAAGAAGATAACGTCGAGAAAGAATGTAGGAACCGAGAGGGAGATAACAGAATGACGGATGGAGAAAAAAAGAGAGAGATGATAATTGAAAGGTGTGTGTCTTAAGTTCAGGTGCTTAAATGTCAAGACACTGAATTTTATACACACACACACACAGCCCTCCCCACAGCCCCCACACACAGCCCCCCACACAGCCCCCACACACAGCCCCCACACAGCCCCCCACACAGCCCCCCACCACAGCCCCCCACACCCCCACACAGCCCCCCGACACACAGCCCCACACAACCCTTCCCCAGCCCCCCCCCACACACAACCCCACAGCCCCCCACAGCCTCCCCCAGCCCCCCACACAGCCCCCCACACCCCCCACCACCCCCACCCCACACAACCCCCCCACAGCCCCCCCACAGCCCCCCCACACAGCCCCCACACACAGCCCCCACACACAGCCCCCACACACTGCCAACTTTCTGCTCCTGATATTTTGCCTCACACAGATAAGAATAAAGTATGAACCTGACGAGGTCATTTCTCCTCCTCCTCCCCATTTCTTCCTCTCCTCCTCCCTCCTATTATCTTCCTCCTCATCCTATTCTCCTCCTCCTCTACTACCCTCCTCCTCCTCCTCCCCCTATTCTCCTCCCTTCCTCCTCCTATTCCTTCTCCTTCCTTCTCAACAGAGATATAATTTGATGTCTAATTTCGCCTTTGATGTTTCATGAGTCCTTACTTACAAAAGCCACCCGATGTTGTTGTTGTTGTTGTTGTTGTGGTGGTTGTTGTTGTTGTTGTTGTTGTTGTTGTTGTTGTGATTGTTGTTGTTGTGATTGTTGTTGTTGTGATTGTTTTGTTATTATTATCATCATTATCACTATCCTCTCTCTCTCTCTCCTCACATCATATCTCTCTCTTTTGTTCTCTGCTTTTCTTGTCGTTTACATAAAGGTTTTCATCAACTGGTTCATTGAAACAGTTGAGGAGGGGGTTCGAAACAGTGAGCCAAGAATAGCAGACGTCAGACACTGGGAGGTTCAAGTGGGCGACTGAGACAAAGTGGCGACAGTTTTGGTTCGAAGCAGTTCAAGTCGACACTGTGTGAAGCAGATCCGAAACGGTGGTTCAAAACGTGTGAGTCAATAGAGTATTTTTTGTTTGTTTTATTTCAACAAGTATGGGTCGTTTAGGGTCTAGGGTTCGAAACAATTGAATCGAAACAACTGAATCAAGACAACTGAATCAAGACAACAGAATCAAAACAACAGAATCAAAACAACAGATCAAACAACTGAATCAAAAACAGCAGAATGAGACAACAGAATCAACACATCAAAACAACGAGACTCGAGATGGGGGCAAACATTCGAATCACTTGGGGTCGAGAGATCTGCTGGGATGTGGAGGCTGATCACCGTGAGTTGTTGTGACGGGAGACAAGGAGAGTTTTGAGAGAGGGTGGGGAGAGTGGGGTGAGAGGGTACGAGGGGTGAGAGGGAGGGGTGAGAGGTGGGGAGAGGGGGTGAGAGGGAGGGAGAGTGTGAGAGGGTGACGGAGGTGAGAGGGTGAGGAGAGGTGAGAGGGTGAGGGAGAGGGGGTGAGAGGGAGGGAGGGTGGGGTAGAGGTGAGGGGGAGAGGGGTGGGGAGAGTGGGGTGAGAGGGGAGGGGTGAGAGGGTGAGGGGAGAGGGTGAGAGGTGACGGAGGTGGAGAGGGTAGGAGTGGGGTCCCTAGAGGAGAGAAAGAGAAAGGTGATTCGAGAGAGAGAGAAAGAGAGAGAGAGAGAGAGAGAGAGAGAGAGAGAAGAAGAGGAGAAGAGAGAGAAGCGTCAAGGATAGAGAGAGAGCCAGACAGACAGACCTGTAAGGGAAAAGACAGACAGACAGACAGACAGACAGACAGACAGACAGAGATAAGATCCTTCATTACTCGGTCTCTCTTTCGCTGGAGTATCACTCAGGCGTGAGACTCGACCTTTCTACCTCGTCGACCTGGCTCACACTCGAGCCTCCTCCTCCTCCCCCTCCTTTACTTCCTGCTACTTCCTCTCTTCTTAACCCTTCTCCTCTTCCCCCTCACCTCCCTCTTCCTCTCTCCCTCCCCACTTCTTTCCTCCCCCAACCCTCTCCCATCTCAGCTCACACCAAACCCTCCCCCTCCCCCTCCCCCGGCCATTGTTGTTGACAGAGGGCTGAGGGCTGAGGGCTGTTTACCACCAGTTTGGGAACGTCTTTGTGTTTTATGGAGGTTTTGAGGGAGAGATGAGCTGGAGGTTTGAGTTGGCCTCTCACTTCTGTTCGTCTGTCTGTCTGTCAATCTGTCTCTACCTGTCTGTATCTGTCTGTCTGTCTCATCTGTCTCTACCTGTCTGTCAGTCTTCACAGCCTCACTCGTCAAGAGGAATAAAAACTTGTGACAGCGACTTGTTTAATTATCACGAGTAGTTTATCACACGAGAGACCTGCTCCTAGCACTCTCAGCCCCAGCCCTCTCAGTTCCTAGCCCTCTCAGCTCCTAGCACTCTCAGCTCCTAGCACCTCCCAGCTCCTGAGCACCTCAGCCCTAGCACTCTCAGCTCCTAGCACTCTCAGCCCCTAGCACCTCAGCTCCGAGCACTCTGCCCCAGCCCTCTCAGCTCCTAGCCCTTCCCCGAGCACCTCAGCCCGAGCACCTCAAATCCTAGCCCTCTCAGCTCCTAGCCTCAGCTCCTAGCACCTCAGCCAGCCCCAGCTTCTAGCCCTCTCAGCTTCAGCCCCAGCTCCCACCTCAGTTTAGCCTCTCAGCTTCTAGCCCTCTCAGCTTCTAGCCTCTCAGCTCCTAGCACCTCGCTTCTAGCCCTCTCAGCTTCCAGCCTCAGCCCTAGCCTCCTCAGCGCTCCTTACAGTTCTCACCTCCCAGCGCTCTCCTAAGATCCTTTTATAGTATCTATTTCTCTCAGCGTCAAGAAGAAATATTTCATCACTTATATTTTACGCCCTGAGTTTATTCCTTACAAGAGGGAATAAAGTCTTTAGGATATATATTGTGTATGTATGTATGTATGTATGTATGTATGTAGTGTAGTAGTTGATGTGTTTGTTTCTGGTGTGTGTGTGTGTGTGTGTGCATCAATTTGTTTGTTTTATCTGTTTACGTGTGTTTGTGCTTAGTTGCTTGTTGTTTGGCTGGTCATGCTATGGGTTAGGTGTGGGTAGGGTCGTTGGTCATGTATAGGGTCGCGTCATGGGTTAGGTGTGTGGGTAGAGTCGCCATGGGTTAGTGTGGGTAAGGCTTGGTCATGGGTTAGTGTGTAGAGTCGCAGCATGGTTGTGTGAGTCACATGGGTTAGTTGCAGGGTCGCGTTGGCTGGGTTAGGTGTGGGCCAGGGTCGTGTTGGTCAGGTTAGGGGTAGAGTGTTGTGCCAAGGGGTCGCGTTGGTCATGGGTTAGTGGGTAGGGTCCGTGTCATGGGTTAGGTGTGGGTAGGTCGCGTTGGTCATGGGTTAGGTGTGGCCAGGCCTTGCAGTTAGTGCCAGGCCGTGGTCATGGTGGTTAGGTGTAGGGTCAGTGCTGGTCATGGGTTAGGTGTGCAAGGGTCGCGTTGGTCATGGGTTAGGTGGCCAGGGCTGTTGGTCATGGGTTAGGTGTGGCCAGGGTCGCGTTGGTCATGGGTTAGGTGGCCAGGGTCGTTGGTTGTGGGTTAGTGTGTAGAGTCTGGTCAGGGATGGACATAATTATGATCCCGCAAGAAATTTTCAGATTACTGCAAAGTGAAGGTCCAGGAGGTGTGTAAGGAGAGACAGACAGACAGGAGACAGACAGAGACAGACAGACAGACAGAAGAGAAACAGACAGAAGAGACAGAGAAAAGACAGACAGACAGAATGAGACAGACAGACAGACAGAGACAGTGAGACAGACAGAAGACAGACAGTGAGACAGACAGAACAGACAGACAATGACAGACAGACAGACAGACAGACAGACAAACAGACAGACAATGAGACAGACAGACAGACAGACAGACAGTGAGACAGACAGACAGACAGACAGACAGTGAGACAGACAGACAGACAGACAGAGATAGACAGACAGGAGAGACAGAAGACAGAGAGAGAGACAGACAGACAGACAGAGGACAGTGAGACAGACAGACAGACAGACAGACAGACAGACAATGAGACAGAGAGACAGGCAGACAGTGAGACAGACAGAGGCAGACAGACAGTGAGACAGACAAACAGACAGACAGGAGACAAACAGACAGACAGACAGACAGACAGAGAACAGACAGACAGACAGACAGACAGACAGACAGTGAGACAGACAGACAGACAGAGACAGACAGAGACAAACAGAGACAGACAGACAGACAGACAAGACAGACAGAACAGTGAGACAGACAGACAGACAGACAGACAGGACAAAGAACAGATAGAGACAGACAGACAGACAGAAGACAGACAATGAGACAGACAGACAGACAGAGAGACAGACAGACAGACAGACAGAGAGACAGACAGACAGACAGACAAACAGACAGAAGACAGTGAGACAAACAGACAGACAGACAGACAGTGAGACAGGAGACAGACAGACAGACAGTGAGACAGACAGACAGAGGACAGACAGACAGGAGACAGACAGACAGACAAGACAGACAGACAGTGAGAGACAGACAGACAGACAGACTCAGAGGATGTCTTGACACTTGTTTAGCTGTCGTGAAGTGTGTTAATGTAGCTGTCTCATGTCTCTCTCATATACTTAAAAAATAACAAAGACTTAAGTTCATTATCACACCTTAGGCAGGTAAACCCCCTCTCTTAATTAGAATTTAAATCCAATTCACCTGTTCACTTCTAAATACAAATGATGATTCCAGAATATAATCACACGTTTCCATTAATCTCAAATAATCTCACTTTATAATCGTCAGCGGAAAGGTAATTCACTACATCAGCTCGTAATGTAATTCGTAATGTAATTTTAATTCACTGCGGAATTACAACATCAATTGCATTCGTCACAGCCACGATTATCTCTCTCTCTCTCTCTCTCTCTCTCTCTCGTCATATCAGAAAAGTTACCTGGGGGTGGATGAATTAAACTTTTTCGTAAATTGGATTTTGGTAGAAGGACATACCTGTTGATGTCACCTGGGAGGAGAGGAAGAGGAGAGAGGAAGAGGAGAGGAAGAGAGGACAGGAGAGGAGTGAGTTATGTTTCGTCTAAAATTATAACACATTAACTGATAATCTCTTAGTAATTGTGTGATCATCATAATGGTGGTCAATCAAGGGTGACCTGATCTTATTGGGTATATCAATGGACCCATGAATTAACCTTTCACCCCAGTAAGGTCATAGGTCATAGTGAGGTCATAAATGCAAATCCTTCAAATACCTACATTATTAATTGTAAAGGGTGAAACATCTTAACTACACATACTCTCACTTAACTACTGCAGCTGCTGTTTTATATCTTGTGAAAATTGTTGTATTAGAAAAAAGCTGCATCGATCAGTTTCTTATCACTGGTTCAACTTCACCCCCTCCCAGACCCCTCCAGAGTCCTCCAGGGTCCTCCAGACCCTTCCAGAGCCCTCCAGACCTCTCCAGACCCCCCTCAGATCCCTCCAGAGCCCTCCAGAGTCTCCCAGAGTCCTCCAGAGCCCCCAGAGCCCTCCAGCCCACCAGACTCCACCAGACCCTCCAGAGCCCACTTGACCCTCCAGAGCACCCCAGAGCCCTCCAGACCTCCCACAGAGCCCACCAGACCCTCCAGAGCCCACCAGACCCTCCAGAGCCCACCAGACCCTCCAGAGCCCACCAGACTCCAGAGCACCCCAGAGCCCTCCAGACCCTCCAGAGCCCACCGAGCCCACCAGACCTCCAGAGCACCCCAGAGCCCTCCAGACCCTCCAGAGCCCACCAGAGCCCACCAGACCTCCAGAGCCCCAGAGCCTCCAGACCCCACAGAGCCCACCAGGACCCCTCCAGAGAGCCCACCAGACCCTCCAGAGCCCACCAGACCCCTCCAGAGCCCACCAGACCCTCCAGACCCCACCAGACCTCCGGAGCACCCCAGAGCCCCCACACGGACACCAGTATTCATCTAATATTGTTGCGTATTGCACTTGTGCTGGCCCTGTAGGGCCATTATCACCGTGTTAATCCACTTATCTCCGAGTTCCTGGTTTAGGGGTTGCTAGCTAAGAGGGGTTGTGGTATTGGGTTAAGAAGTTGATTAAGAAGAAGGTGAGAGCCTTTATATAACATCATCGTCACACACACACACACACACACACACACACACACACACACATCCCTTTATACAGATATAGAAAAGATGATAAAAAAAAAAAATATTAAGTTAGTCTTTTAAAGGGCAGTTGACACCTCCACTGTATCATGTAAGTTAAGGGTTCTTTGTACCTCCTTAACTACCCAACAACACCACCATTGAGCCAAAGTGGGCGCTGATTGGCTGAATGACTCCCTGTTCTCTTCCATCCCTATCACCTTCTTTTTTTAACTGACTCGTTCTCTCTTCTATCTTGTTCCATTGGCTGGGTGGAGAGAGAGAGAGAGAGAGAGTCACACCCCGTCCATCTCCATCTATTGTTGCAGACTGGTGATGAAGCTTCAGGTGTTATGGAAGGTCGTGTTTACTGTGTCGGGTGGTGATGATGGTGCTATACCTCTCTGGCGGGTCATTATGATGGTGACGACTTCTCTCTCCTTCTGTTCTGTCTTCCTCTTCCCACCTTCTCCCTCTTTCCTCCTCCCCAACTCCCCTCTCTCTCCCTCCTCCTCCTTCTCTCTCCTTCACCTCCATATATCATGCCACACGACCTTCCTCCTCCTCCTCTCGAGAAGGCAAAGGCCAGAAATATGATAATGACACAGAATCAAACCCTCTATACCGCCGCCAGCCTGGAATCGAATGCTCCTTGTTTCCTCGTATATTTGATCCGATCCTCTTCACACCGTTTCGAATCGTAAATTGTCGTATTTGTCTTACTCTTTCGTCATAAATACCAGATTATGACGTACTTTGGGGGATGATCGATTATTTTTGTGGTATTGGATTCTATTCATTTTCTCACACGTGATTCGATTCCCTTTAAAGCGTTTCGAATCGTATTGGTTTTTTTTATCTTAATCGATATAATAAATTACTAAATTATATTTTTTTAGGATCAGAATCTTTTTTTTTTTTGTGTTGAATTCTACTAATTTCTCTTTTATTTCATCTAATCCTTTTCTTAGAGACTTAACCCTTAGATGAATGTGTTTTTCTTCGTCTATTGATATAAATAACTAAATACGACAATTATTTAGGATCCAATTCTATAAATCCGACTCTTGTTAAATCCTACTCATTCCCTCACTAATTTAATCGAATCCTTTATACAGCATTCAGAATCCTAAATGAGCGATTATCTTGCGGTTTTTGGTTATAAATTCCAAAGTTTTCCGTTTTAACAGGATCAAACCCTCTATATCAAACAGTCCTTGATATCTGAACCTGTTTAATACCTCAACAACTTAATCTAATCCCCTTATGAGTGTCCCCCAATCCTACATAACGGTGGTATATGTTTGTGGAATATAAAGTCAATGTTGTATACAGGTTCAAACCCTTTATAGCTAATTTCACTTGACATCCGATCCTCAATTGTTTAATCTGATCCTCTTAACAAGGTATCGGATCCTACATAATGGTATATTGTTGGTTTTTGCGTCTGTTGAAGAAAGAAAAGTAATTTGTTTCATTTCATGGAGAGACTCCCTTGTCCTATCCCCTCCCTCCTCCTTCTCTCCCCTCCCCTCCTCTCCCCCTCCCTTCTCACCCCCTCCCCATCCCTCCTCTTTCTTCCCCTCCTCCCCTTCCCTCCTTCTCCCCTCCCTTCCCTCCCTTCCCCCTCCTCACCTCCTCCTCCCTCCCCCCTCCCTCACCTCCTCCCCTTCCCCTCCCCCCCCTCTAGTGACAAAGAAGAGGGAAGAGACATATGGGAGGATTTTTTCCCTCTCGTGAAAAATCAGATTTCAGTTCATTAAAATCTGGAGGCCTGATTTTTTTTACAGATTTTTTTTGGGGGGGCGGTCGAGTTTCAGAGCAGTTTAGACGCCATTTGGGTTGTCAGATTTTGGTTTCAATGAGCCGGATAACTAACGTTCTTTCGAGTGAGCCGGATAAATAACGTTCTTTCGAGTGAGCCGGATAAATAACGTTCTTTCGAGTGAGCCGGATAAATAACGTTCTTTCGAGTGAGCCGGATAAATAACGTTCTTTCGAGTGAGCCGGATAAATAACGTTCTTTCGAGTGAGCCGGATAAATAACGTTCTTTCGAGTGAGCCGGATAAATAACGTTCTTCGAGTGAGGTGCCGGATAAAATAACGTTCTTTTCGAGGAGCTGGATAAATAATGTTATTTGTAACTCCTCTTATGTGATTTTTTTTTTTACTTACGAACCTTGAGAGAGAGAGAGAGAGGGGAGAGAGAGAGAGAGAGAGAGAGAGAGAGAGAGAGAGAGAGAGAGAGAGAGGAACTTAACCTTTTTTTTTAGCATTATGAAGAAACTTAATGAGTTATTAAATTGTGTGTTTTTCTCTTCTTCCCACTTCTCCTCCTCCTCTCCTCCTCCTCCTCCTCTCCTCTTCCTCTCCTCCTCCTCCTCTCCTCCTTCCTCCTGTCTTCCTTCCGCCGTCTTGGATATATTTTGCGTCTTCAAAAGAATATTTTTTTTGTGCGTGTGTTTGTGAAGATTGTTTTTTCCCCTTGCCTTCATCATCGTCTTTAATGAGGGAGAGAGGGAGAGAGGGGAGGAGGAGAGAGGGAGGTGGGAGGGAGGGAGAGAGAGAGAGAGAGAGAGAGAGAGAGAGAGAGAGAGAGAGAGAGAGATTAAAGCACACACACTCACACACACACACAATAGTTACAAGCTTGTGTATTTAAATTAATCATGCTAACCTAACCTAACCTAACCTAACCTAACCTAACCTAAACTAACCTAACCTAACCAGTCTTCCCGTCTACACTTCAGGATGTGTCGGGATGAGGCAACAGCTTGGGTAATAATCGTCTCACTTGGATTACAGATCAGTTCCCACTAATCCTGGGGTTAGCTTGAGTGGCCGACGTTACATGAACAGGCCAGCGAGGTTACAGTATAAATGTTACAGGTTACAGTATAAATGTTACAGGTTACAGTATAAATGTTACAGGTTACAGTATAAATGTTACAGGTTACAGTATAAATGTTACAGGTTACAGTATAATTGTTACAGGTTACAGTATAAATGTTACAGGTTACAGTATAAATGTTACAGGTTACAGTATAAATGTTACAGGTTACAGTATAAATGTTACAGGTTACAGTATAAATGTTACAGGTTACAGTATAAATGTTACAGGTTACAGTATAAATATTACAGGTTACAGTATAAATGTTACAGGTTACAGTATAAATGTTACAGGTTACAGTATAAATGTTACAGGTTACAGTATAAATGTTACAGGTTACAGTATAAATGTTACAGGTTACAGTATAAATGTTACAGGTTACAGTATAAATGTTACAGGTTACAGTATAAATGTTACAGGTTACAGTATAATTGTTACAGGTTACAGTATAAATGTTACAGGTTACAGTATAAATGTTACAGGTTACAGTATAAATGTTACAGGTTACAGTATAAATGTTACAGGTTACAGTATAAATGTTACAGGTTACAGTATAAATGTTACAGGTTACAGTATAAATGTTACAGGTTACAGTATAAATGTTACAGGTTACAGTATAATTGTTACAGGTTACGAAGTCCACTTGTGTTTGTTATAAGTATTGCACGGACTCACAATAAACGGACGGACTCAGTAAACGGATGGACTCAGTAAACGGATGGACTCACAATAAACGGACGGACATACGAAGGGACTGACGCATGACGGACTTAGAACCGGATATATGGATACTATTTCCGTGTCCCTATCCAGCTGTAGTGTCCCTCTCACCATCCCCCTCTCACCATCCCCTCTCTATCCCCTCTCTCTTCACCCCTACCCCCCCTCTCAGGTAAACTAACCATTTTTCTTGTGGTTTAAACCTTTCGAGTGTTTGTCTCTTAAGCCCTTCTGTCTCGGAGGGGTTATGTGGTCCCCCTGGGGTCCGTGAGCGAACCTAAGGACCCCCAGTCACTCGTTCCCCTTAAGGCTGATAATCTCTGGGGTCTGTCAGGGGAGGTTCGACCATGTAGCTCTCTGGGGGTTAAGCCATGATCGTCTATTATCCCAACCAGCCGCCGTGAGGAGGAGAGGGAGAAGGGAGGAGAGGGAGAGAGAGGGAGAGAGAGGGAGGAAGGTGTGAGGGAGAGAGAGGGAGAGAGAGGGAGAAGGGAGGAGAGAGAGGGAGAGAGAGGGAGAAAAAGAAGGATAGGGTTAGTTGGAATCAGGAGGAAGAAAGAAAGAGCAAGGGAAGGAAGGAGAGGAGAAAGGAAGGATAGAGGAAGAATAAAGAAGAATGAAGAAGATAGAAGGAGGAAGAAGAAGGAAGGGGGAAGAAGAAGGAAGAGGGAAGAAGAAGGAAGAAGAAGGAGGGGAAGAGGAGAAAGAAGAAGGAAGAGGGAAGAAGAAGGAGGAGGAAGAAATTAGCCAACAGCTCATCTTAACTTACTCTACTGTATTGGGTAATTACTTCGGCCCGTGAGCTGAGTGGTGGATTGGGAAGATGATTCGGCCCCGTGGAGGTGATTCGGCCAGCTGATTCGGCCCCGCGGAGGTGATTCGGCCAGCTGATTCGGCCCCGCGGAGGTGATTCGGCCAGCTGATTCGGCCCCGCGGAGGTGATTCGGCCAGCTGATTCGGCCCCGCGGAGGTGATTCGGCCAGCTGATTCGGCCTACAGTGGAGATTGGGTGAGCTGATTCGGTATACATAGAGGATTCGAAGATGATTAGCTAAAGTGACTGTACCCCACGGAAATGATTGGACAAGAACCACGGCCCAGACAAGTGATTGGATAACAAGATTGGATCCAGTGAAGGAGTTTGTGAAGGGATTAGGAACGTCATTTTAGTTGATGGATAAGATTGGAGGATTTGGAGGTTAGAGTG